AGAAAAAACAAAAGCTCTCTAAGGCCAGTAATATATATGACCTTGGGCGCCACTGAGTGAAGGTCGACCCTGGCCGTTTATTAGGATTCCATCAGAGAAAGGCAGTGGCTTCCCAGAATCAATTATTTGTTGCAATTCATGCACTACACGTAAACATAGTTATTTGAAATACTCTCAGGCTAGGCACATCAGTTACTGAAAATTTAGGCCATTAGTTTTTTCATTAAATCAATCTCAAAGTATTTTCAAATTGTTGTTATTCATTGGAAGACATGAACGGAATGGAGGATGACAACATATAAAAACATAGAAATATATTAAATTTAACTAAGTACACCAATTTCAAGGATGAATCTATTTATGAGCCAATACCAAAAACAATGAGGAAAAAGAAGGCTTCATCTTTTTTTATTTTCTAACATAATCGACTTAATCTATTGAAAAGATCAAGCATTTCAAAAATCAAGCATCATTTAGATCCCCAGATACACAATCAAAATACACCTCAATTCTAATTCATGTTTACTAAACGCTAGGGCAATTCGAGACTTACAGATGCTGCTCATGTCATATGCATCTTATTACAAACGATTTAGGACTTGCATATTTCCGAATCAGGGCCATCCAAAAAAGATTAATCTTGACGTGAGCAAGAGTTTGTTGCTCTCTCTGTCGGATTAAAAGAAAAGGGTTCGAATGATGGTTCCTCCATGCATCATTAGCACGAGCTTCTGGCACTGCAGACTGCTATAATATAACAAATGAACCAAGTCATTAAAATTGCAAACCGAAATATTAAGAAAAGAACTATGACATGACATATACAGAAAATGAGAAAATGCTCAATCTTCAATGTAGCAAGTACTTCGGCCAAAGCAGATGATGTTGATGCAGTTGCATTAAGATTGATTTTTGGTAAAGATTCAAACTCTTTGAAATTGGAATCCCTTTCCCAACAACTGATCATGTACGAAAAGTCTAATCCCTCTTGCTTCCTGAAAGACAAATAACAATTGAATTAGATATATTAGAAACCCTAAAATCAAAAGACCCAGTTCAAAAACCCTAGAAAAGCATAAAGAAATTAAGCGAAGAGGTGAAACTATGGAATGAGGCTGACTTGTTCTTGGAGCTAACAAAACTCAACTCGCCTAACTCGACCCGCGAGCTGCCGCCAACTTTTAGATCTGAATGTCGCGCGTAGCACCGCCGTGCTGATCGCCGGAGCTGCTCATCAGTTTCTGTCGTCGGGCTGCTATGTATTCAAGACATTTCAGGGCCTATTGATCTTCACTTCTCAACACCAACGCGAAAATCTACCAGTTCTCACGCTTCTGTTTAATTTGATTCCAAAAGTAGAAGATCTTCGGCTGGAGAATGCCAAATTTTGGAAATTATCGATAGCGTCTCCGTAAATTCTTTTGTGCAGCAGCCTGACCTGAACTCATGTCATCATAATCGGAGATCAATCCCGATCCTGCAGGTTCCCACGGGAGATGGAAAAAATTGGCCGGAAAGATTTAGGAATAGATAGAAGGTTGGCTGTGAAGTAATTGGTCGGTCATTTCAGAAGCTTGTGAAACTTCGTGCGTAAGAAAAAATATATGGAATGAATTGACTAAACGAAAGGAAAAGGGGCTAATTCGCGCAAATACTTAGGTGCGCCTTGGCACACCTAACAAGGTGTGCCAATGCTTTTTTAAAATGAACATGATGAACATGTGTAAACATGTTTACACATGTTCATTTTATAAAGTAACATGTTTATTTTAAACTGTCTTGGCACACCTTGCTAGGTGTGCCAGGGTGCACGGTAGTAGCACTAGCTAATTCGACGCTAGAGGTAAGTGCACTGCCCTCACCACCTAAATGAATGACACGTGGCCTTTAAATTTTTTATTAATTTTTTCTCTTTTTTTAGCTAGAAAACCAAACCTTGTGAACCATGGTTATCTCA